CATAATCACTTGCAGTTATATCTTCAGTATTTCGCAGTACTTGGGGCTCTCATACAATAGTATAATTCGTAATTAAAGATTTTATTTTTTAGAACTCAGCATATCTAGTGAAAATTCATCTAAATGTAATTAATAATTAAAGTGAAATTAGAACTTACTATTTATTGTCAAGCTCCACAAATTTAATTTGTAATCAGAAAAAGGAGGAGAAAACTGCATTCAACAATCATTGCGTACATGTTTACAATAGTAATAAACTACAACTAATAATAGTAGTAACTTGCATCAATGAAACCCACTACATACTCCATGCGTCGTACTATCGTGATTATGTCTTATTGAATCACATCATTTGTTGTGGTAGTACCTTATAAATACAACAACTGTTGTCACATCATTTGTGGCTGGTTCTAAACCAGTTACCACTCTATGAAAATACGACAAAATAGTTTAACCCAGAAATAAATGTAAGAAATTCTCGCACATAGATATTTTCCATCTGTAATGAAGTGGTTTACTTTCAAATGATAGTTGTGTTTTTTTTCTCATCCATACAATCACTAGACCAAGGATTTTTGCTGTAAATCAAGTTAATAACATTTAAAGACGCCTTGAAGTTATTATTTTGTTTTTTCTTTCTTTCACCGCAACAGCCTTGCATTGCATTTCCTAATCTATCATTTTTCTTTGATTAGTTATAGCAAAAATTGTGATATAAGACCACTTTTTCCAAAATACAAAAAAGGCCATAAAATATTGAAACAATAATTTATTTTAATTTTTTTGTTTTTCTAATTATGCTTTTTTGTGTATTTATGAATATCCATCAATAAAAAATAACAGTATTTTAAAATTACGACTTTCCTGAATTAATCGCCTTTTGCCTACCGCTCAACCCATTGTGCGTCGGGTTAGTTGCCCACACTCGGAAAACCCTCCTACTATAAAAAAAACAGAGAAAAATAAAACCAAACTCCCCTAATGTTGACGACCCCCGCAAGCGTATAAAGGACCACAATCTGCGGAAATACTCAAGAAGTACAAAGCCAACATTATTGCCTCACAGAAAATGCGATGGAAAGGGACAGGCGTAAGTAATCAGACGATTGCGCCTTGTATTGTAGCCCTCATGAATCGAGACATGAATTTGACTGCGGATTTATTGTTAACAGACGACATACCTCGTCTCCAATTCATTCTATTAGATGAATGAATTGCAATAAAACGTATAAAAGCGAAGTTTGACATCAGTCTTATTTGTGCCAATTTCCGACGGAAGACAAAGAATAACAGACCAAAGACATATTTTATGAGCGCCTAGAAACAGCATATGACCGAGCCCTACCCATAATGTTAAAATTCTGCTGGGAGATTTTAATGCAAAATTAGGAAGGGAAAATATTTTTGGCAACACCGTCGGAAAATTCAGCCTCCTGTTAGAAGAAATCACTCCGTGTTCCGATAATAATATAGAAGCACAAAAAAAGAATTGCCCACTCCCTACAAACTGCTGGAAAAGCAACACTTGGATACCAAAGTCCACCATGAAGAAACCCGAGACATGATCAGGAGTCGTAATGCTACTGATGTGAAAAACGTAGCGTCAATGTAGGTCAACCCTGCAGACAGTAGTAAAACGCAATGAATTGTCGGAAGAAAAGGAGAGAAGAGAAACGTACAAGAGAGAACACGAAAAGAAGTCAGAATGAAGTCCGTAAAGTTTACCAACGAAAAACGTGAGCGGAAACAAATCGAGATGTACAAGAGTCAGACCCAACAGGACCAACGAAGTCCAACGAGTAAAACACCAAACCGAAGGCTTTTCTATTGGCAGATACATATAGCGTGTTGACAATCTGGAAGGAGTATGTTGCAAAGCTTCTGGTAGCAAATAGTGGCGGTGAAGAAGATACTCCAGAACCAATAATAGATGCCATTGATTGTATACCACCTAGCCAAGATGAGGTCAATTAATCGGATGAAGAATAATAAAGCACCAGGTGCCGATGGAATACCAACCGAACTATGCAAGACCGGTGATCAGGTGCTGGTCAGGAGCATGCACCAACTGTTTAGTACAATTTGGCTAGAGGAATACATGCCCTATGATTGGATCCTCAGCATCCTGTGCCCTGTACACAAACAAGGAGACAAGACGATATGTGCCAACTATAGAGGAATAAGTCTCCATCCCATCCCATGAAAGAGTGAGGCCAATGGTCAATGTCCTGTCCGTTCAGAGGTGTTTAAAGCCATGTCTGCGTTCCACATCACTGGAACATTAATACGGCTATGCAGGATAACTCTAACTGGCACAAGGTCAGCAGTTAAATGGATGAGAATGGTTAAGGATGCCCCAGGCCAAAAGGCATATAAAAGCGAGCCAACGTCTTATGTTCGAAATATCATACAGAAGTCAGGTTAAAATTTTCACTTTTTTGATATATTAAAAATTTGTGTAACATAATCACTTGCAGTTATATCTTCAGTATTTCGCAGTACTTGGGGCTCTCATACAATAGTATAATTCGTAATTAAAGATTTTATTTTTTAGAACTCAGCATATCTAGTGAAAATTCATCTAAATGTAATTAATAATTAAAGTGAAATTAGAACTTACTATTTATTGTCAAGCTCCACAAATTTAATTTGTAATCAGAAAAAGGAGGAGAAAACTGCATTCAACAATCATTGCGTACATGTTTACAATAGTAATAAACTACAACTAATAATAGTAGTAACTTGCATCAATGAAACCCACTACATACTCCATGCGTCGTACTATCGTGATTATGTCTTATTGAATCACATCATTTGTTGTGGTAGTACCTTATAAATACAACAACTGTTGTCACATCATTTGTGGCTGGTTCTAAACCAGTTACCACTCTATGAAAATACGACAAAATAGTTTAACCCAGAAATAAATGTAAGAAATTCTCGCACATAGATATTTTCCATCTGTAATGAAGTGGTTTACTTTCAAATGATAGTTGTGTTTTTTTTCTCATCCATACAATCACTAGACCAAGGATTTTTGCTGTAAATCAAGTTAATAACATTTAAAGACGCCTTGAAGTTATTATTTTGTTTTTTCTTTCTTTCACCGCAACAGCCTTCATGTGGTATGTGTTCATGGTTTTACATTACTTTATGCAACATGCAATTTTTGCATCAAACAACATTGGCAGTCAACCAACCAGCCAGCCAACCATCTAACACTACTATGGCCATGTCCATTGCTCCAGCAATCGAAATGTTTTATGTTTGTCCATTGCATTGCATGCTGCGTTAGAGTAGATGAAATTGAGAAGAAAAAAAGAAAACTCTTTTTTTCTTTCGTTCAGTCAATTGAAAACGATACCCCCTTTACTATGGTTTGCATTTGCGGCGGCGTAATTAATACTTCAGAGAAATGGAAGTTCATGAAAGAACAGTGTTTTTATTTGGGTTAATTATATTAAAAGATTTGAAAAATTCCTTTATGACACAAAATTTTATAAGTATATAAGAAGAAGCATTTATTTTTTCAATTCGAACACAAGAATTAGAAAAGGCTTTCCTACATATAGGTACAAGTTCATAAACTATTGCCAACTATTAAACTTTAAAATACTACCATGAACATTTTGCAGACAGATCAGTAGTATTTGTGTCTATTTCAGTGAATTCGGTTGAAACCCGCGCTCGAGAACCCTAAAATACCGAAAATTGGGGCGTAACCTTATATGGGGCCACCCGGAAAATTTGACCTATAATTATAATTTTTAGTATAGAGATTTGCTACCCAATAGGAACTTAAAGTACCGAATTTCAGCGAATTCGGTCGAAAATGCGATGAACCCCCCCGAAATACCACGAATTTGGGGGTACCCTTAAAAGTGGGCTATCCGAAAATATGGACCTATATTTATAATTTTTAGTGGAGAGTTTTGCTACCCAACAAAAACTCGATGTACCAAATTTCAGCGAATTTAGTTGAAAAACACGCTCAAGAACCTCAAAATACCGAACATTTGGGGGTACCCTTATATGGGAGCTATGCCTAAACGTGGACCGATAAAGCCAATCTTCGAACTTGATCTGCCTGCAGACAAAAGACGACTCTATGCAAAATTTTATCGATCTATCTCAATTCGTTTAGACGCTAGAGTAATTACAACAGACAAACGGACAGACAGCCGGACATGGCTATATCGTCATAGATTTTTAAGCTGATCAAGAATATATATACTTTATAGGGTCGGAAATGATTATTTAGATGCTTTACAAACGGAAAAACAAAACTAGTATACCCTCCATACCATGGTGGATGGTATAAAAATGTTTATGAACTTAGTCTGACAAACCCTGCATGCAGCAAAATATTTTTTTCGTTCGACTTTGCTGAGATCGACACTACTACTTTAGGTGGGTATAATAAAATATATACCTTGGGCTTATACTTCGAAATTTTATAAATTTTCTCTTGTATTCAACTTATATTTTCTATCACATTTTATACCTTAGAAAACACTGTCTCATTCGAAAAGCCAACAACACTCTAACACTTCAAGAAAAATGTGTAAAAATGCAATGGAAAATAGATATTAACGCAACTAAATTATATTTAATCATAATAATGTTCAAATAAAGCAACAATAGAAGCATACTATTGCAACTGCACTTTAGTTATCAGATACAAATTGTTTTAGTTTTTTGTGTGGCTGCCTCAGTGTGGCAGAGACAATAAAACTGACTTGCAACATTGCCAAGATAATTAGTCGACATTGAACAGCCAACACTAAGCTCAAACATTGGAGTTGCAAGTGATACGCGTTCGCGTTTCCACCCCACAGCTGGACACCAACGTCCAGGACATTTTATGTGAAAAACGAAAACAGAAAAAAAAAATAAAATACAATTCATTATTTAACAGCAAAAAGTCCTTAAGTGATAAATAATAAAAAAAAACTACACACAAAAATTAACAAGCCAAAATATAAACGAAACCATAAAAAATGGCTATTCATCGCCTGCCAACAATATCAGTGTTAGTGAGCATATTATGTTTACTCATCATACCTGCAATACAAGCGGAAATACGCAGTCGCCCCTCAAAAAGTGTTAGTGCAAAAAGTAATAGCATTCACGATGGCCATAACACACACAAATCGACGAGCAATAATCCAGCTGATGATGATAGCGCATCGAGTACGTCCAAGACAGGTTTTGCAGCATCCTCACAGCCGCGACCAGTAAATACGGATTTCGTCGATAAAATGTCTTGGAAATGTGCCAACAATGCCAGTTGTCTGTACAATATGGCCAGCGGTATTATCAATTCTTATCGTCGTGGTGAAACAGTCCATTTGGGATTCTTAGATTTGGTTAAATTGCCACCGTCCAAGAAGACCAAATCGAAATGGAATGCGACGGAAACCGGTCGTAGCATATCCACATTTGTGGATTTTATTAGTGGTAATGCTATACGGATACCGGTTGGTCCCATGGTCTTCAGTGTGCAACGTGATGAGGATGATGCCAACTACATTGAAATTGCTCTGCTGAAGAAGGCGACCAGTAGTACAGGTATATTGTTGATTGTCTGTTTAATGGATGAAAAAGTAGAACAAGAAATTATGTGAAAAGTGTTACACTTTCATATGTAGACAAATGACAAGAGAAGAAGAAGAAAAACAGGAAATACGAAGTTAGTAAAGAATTCCCCACAGTGGATAAAATGAATGTTTGCACATACACACAAATTAATTAAATTTGTTGTGATCCTTACTTGTTTAATATTAAAGCTAGTAAAAGAGGGAAATGCCAATGTCGAAATGTACGTGAACGGAAAAATAGTATAAATCTTAGAACTCGACATTCTTGAATTCTACGACAACAAATACCGACCATTATTAATATTAGTTCCTTATATGTTTCTAGTTTTCGGAATAAGGAAAAAATAGTACAATATAGAAGTATATTTTAGGATCTGGAACTCTAATATTTTTTTTTCATAAATGTTCATGGTTTTATGTGGTTTTTGTACATCTAGAATAAATTTCAATTAAGGGGACCCCCCCATTCTCGGGGTCAATTTTTTTTTTTGATTTAATTCGAATCTACACTAATTCAAGAATGTCCCTACAAAATTTCAAGTGAAAATCTCAAGAACTCTTGAAAATATAACCGATTTATTGTGTCAGCATCAAGTGACGGCTAAAGGGCTTCTCTAACTTTAAACGCGTTTTTCTCTTTTGCGAATGGCGGGCACGATAAATAAAAAACTAATAACCCAATCGATTCCAAATTTTTACACGTTTCTCTGTGAGTGTATAGATATCGTATGAACTAGGATAAAGCCAATCGGTGTAGATCTTCCTCATTTTTTTAACTTGGTTTTTGGTAAAAAATCGGCGATTTTCCAAAAATATTTTTTCAGAGGTCCGCCATTTTGTTAATTTTAGAGCGAAATCAATAATCCTCGTTCATACGAGAGCCAGACATGTACTAACACCGTTGGAATTTTCGGATTCCGATGTTCCAGTGAGGAGTTATCATGCCCGCCATCAAAAATAAGGACTTTTCTTTAATTACAAAAAACAACAACAAAACAATAACAAAATTTGTTTTTAATTATTTTTCTTCTCTTTTAAATCTTCAAATATATATGTGCAAAGTTACAAACCTTAAAAAGCATTGGTATTGATTTACCAGCCCATTGAAAATCTTGAAAAATTAAAATCGAGAATGGGTGGGGTTCCCTTAAATGGAATTAAAAAGTAGAACTAGAACAAAAAACATTTTAATAGAAAATGTTTCCATGTCAAGAGTACCATACAAATCTCCATTCCTAGCAGTGTTGCCAAAACTTTGTTAAGAAAAAATTCTAGACTTTGTTTCAAAAATACGCTTGAAAGTGCTAAACATTTTAAAAAACTGCAAAAAATTATAAAAAATCATTATACCCTCCTGCACAAGGATCCCCATTTACATAAAATCGAACGACAATATAATATATATGGTAGCTAAATCGGAACCGATTTTCACGAAACTAAGCACACACCATTCCAGACTCAATTCAGTACGCTATGCTATTCTGATGTTTTTATCTCCTGTTCTGTTACTGAAAAATTGTTTTCTCTTGTTCTTCGAGAATAAACACTATTCTGTTAGTATTATAAAATAGCACCCATTTAAAGGCCCCGACCAATTATCACCATTTCTCCTTACAGACAACACTCAATTTTGCTTTATTTTTCTATTTTCAAGGTCATAACCACATTTTCCAACCTAATGGCTTTTATTTGCCATGGAAATGGAGCCAACATTTATTATTTTTGTAAGGAAATTTATTATTCGATAATAATCCAAAATATCAAATTAAAGCCCATTTGATTACGAAATATTGGGGCTTAACCAAGAGGTTGTCCGATATATCCCGTTTTCAATACCACACATCCTAGGAGTAGTAGCTCTATCTTCAATATTATTCCAACGTGAATTCAACAGCCGGACTGACGATATGTTGCAAACATTATTAAAATTGGAAAAAATCGTTCCCGTTTTATATTAGTTTGGAGAGAAATAAATCCATAATTTTTATATGACCTATAGGACTTTATTCAAAACGATTTGGAATATCCGATATGGACCGTTTTGTTGTATGAGTTGTTGTCATTTTAAAAATAACTTCATAATGCCTCTCTCATAGGAGTGCTGCTCTCAATTTGCAAAAAAAAAAACTCTAGTAACCGATTTTCACAATCCCCCCTAGATACCAATTTTTTAACATTAAAGACATTTTGTAATGCAAGAAAAATATGATAATCGCTTGGTGCCAAGTCCAAACTGTATGGCGGATGCATTTAACTTCCCATTCACAATTTTAGCCACTTGACTTGCATTTTCGCCTTTGTAAAAACTGTAAAATGTACCATTTTTAAAACCCTGTAGCTCAAAACTGCATGCACCAAACAACAAAATTTCAATTATCAATAATTGCGACCTTTAATAAAAATCTATTTATTTTCCGTAATCTATTTCGTACCTTTTTAATTTTGTACTTTTTTAATAACAATAATAATATATACGAATTAGATCTACATATTCATGTTTATCATACCCTGTACCACACTGTGGTACAGGGTATTATGTCTTTGTGCATATGTTTGTAACAGGCAAAAGGAAACGAGATAGACCCATGGTTCCTTTTGAGGATAAGCATTGAATCACTTTTTAAGTCGATTTAAGCATGTCCGTCCGTCTGTCTGTCTGTCCATGTATTTTTGTGAGCAAAGTACAGATCGCATTTATGATCCGAATTTGATGAAATTTGGCACAGCTCATTTGTTTGGCCCAAGGACGAACCCTATTGGAATTGGAAAAAATCCGATTTCATGTAAATGGTGCACCAAAGTCCCTATATATCTTTCGATTTGCACGAAATTTGGCATAACGTACTGAATTGAGCCTAGAGTGATGTCTGCCAAGTTTCGTGAAAATCGGTCCAGATTTAGATATAGCTCCCATATATAGTTTCGTCCGATTTCATGTAAATTGAGCACCAAAGTCCCTATATATCTTTCGATTTGCACGAAATTTGGCATAACGTACTGAATTGAGTCTAGAGTGATGTCCAGATTTAGTCCAGATTTAGATATAGCTCCCATATACAGTTTCGTCAGATTTCATGTAAATGGTGCACCAAAGTCCCTATATATCTTTCGATTTGCACGAGATTTGGCATAACGTACTGAATTGATGCTGGAATGATGTGTGCTGAGTTTCGTGAAAATCGATTCAGATCTAGATATATATATTTTCGTCCGATTTAATATAAATAATGTACCAAGTTCTTATGTTGCATAGCGTTTTGAGTTCAATCCAGAATATTGTGTGCCAAGTTTAGTGAAAATCGGTTGAGATTTAGATATAGCTCCCTTATATTATATATTGATTTTAAGTAATTGACGCACCAAGGAACCAATATATGGCTGATAGGAACAAAACGTACTGAAATTAGTATAACCTAACCTGTGACAAGTTTCGTTGAAATCGGTTCATATTTGGATATATCATCCATATATAAGTAAATTGTGCATCAAACTCCTCATATTTATTTGATTGACATCAAATTTTGCACAACTTACAAAATTGAGCATAGAATAACGTAGTTGGATTTTCTAGAAGTACAGATCTAGACCAACGGATGACCTATTGATATTAGTTTGAAGTCGATTTACATATTTCTGTTCCATTGCAACAAACGAATGACATGTTTTCAATATAATTTAATGACATGTTTGCAACCATCACTGTCGCAACAAATCGTATAATACTAAAATAATAAATGAGAATGAATGTAATTTAATACCTTTTAATTAAAGAGCTTTTCGACAAAATATTGTGAATAATAATATTTGTAGTAATTATTTCATACATGTATGAATTTACATAACCCTGCATACATATTTATGCATTTAGTTGCATTTTTAAATTTAATAAGGATTTATTATGAAAAAAAAAAAATATTTCAGCTCGTCACGGCATATTAGGTGGAGGTGGTGATGGCGGAGGCGGTTTGCTTGGTGGCAGCGGAAGCGGCGGCGGTGGCCATGGACATGGAATTATTCATCGTTTTAAGGAACGTCACGAAAAGGAGGACAAGAAACAAATGCAAATGTATGTGCCTATGTATTTGGCGGCAACAACTTTTGGTTGGACATTGGTAGCTGCCAAATTTGTTGGTCTGTTGACACTCAAAGCTCTGGCCATTTCCAAAATAGCATTTGTTGTAGCGGCTATGGTATTGATGAAAAAATTAATGGATAATGCTTCAGAAAAGTAGGAAGGATTCCAGAGGATATGTACACCTTTCAAAAAGACTTATACACCTATTTCTTTCTAAAATTTCAGAATGATGTACCAATACCCCGAACATTCACCATATATGATGCCCTATAGCATGGATTATGGTATACATTCAATGGCAGCGGGTCCAGCTGATATGGGAGGTTCTGATATGTATGCTGGTGGTTTGCCAATACATGCTGCTGCTGTGGCCCCACTGGGTGGCCATCCCGGCCATCCGGGCCTGGAACATTATGCAGCTGAAAGTTCGGTACATCAAAATATTGCAGAAGCCCAAAATAATACCCAAGTATTGGCTGCGCTCAATGCAGCCGGTTTGGGACAAAAAGTTAAACGTGAAGACTCGTGGTTGGGAAGAAGTAAGTTTTTTAACAATTAAATTGTTTTAATTGCACTTACTCATGCACTCACTTAATAATAATTATAGCACCCCACCTAAAGCACTTCTATAAACCTGGATTCTTTTCAAAGAATGACAATTTTAATTTAAGAAAAAAATATGAATTATCTTCATTGAATATTTATGATGATCTTATAAAAGTTGCCGCCGTAGCAGCTGCCGAAGTTGTCGAAGAGAATGAGAAACGTTTACAATGGAAGGCCAACTTACTTGGCATGGATGTCGAAGATGTCGAGGAAGAGGAGGAAGAAGATCATATATTCAATGAAGAAGAAAGTATAAAGGATACTTTGGAATATTTAGGCATGGATATACGCAAAAGAAAAAGTAATTGGTAGTTCTGGTATTAATATTATTTGTTGTATATAGAATATCAGAAAAACCACCATTAAGTATCAATGATCTCGTAAATAATAATATATTTTAAATTTAAAAAAGTTGGTAAGATATATTAAATAAATATGACATGTATAGTGTTTTCTACGTATATTCAATATACCACAAATGATCAAATTATATACGAATTGATTAAATTTTAAATTTATTACATTCACACAAAAGCATCATAATTAGATGCTTCAATGTTCAATATTCAACTTAATTTTACATAACAAAGTTTATCATAGTCACAGTCGAAAATTCGAAATTAATCTTTTTTTCTAGTGGAACAAAAAATAAGCTAAAAATTGTGGTATTTCACTGTGCATCAAATTCAAAAAATCACATCTAACATTATTCCTTTTAGGAAAGCTTCAGCCCCTTTTTAAAAAAGTTTTGTCCTAAACATAAACTAAAATTGCAACATTTCTGTGACGATCCTTTTTTTAAAAAAAAAAGTTCCATAAATTGGACATATATGTCAATTTGTTCAACCAAATCTATAGAAATTTTCCGCAAACATTCTGCAATAGTAATATAATGGTTATTCCTTTGGAATACCCAACATCTGGTGAGAAATCGATGATACTGGATACTTTACCTTGGAAAACCTAACTTCATACACTCAGATTGGAAATTTAGGTTATGACAAAAACGACGCTTGACGGAGGCTATATTAACCCTTTGACGTATGAATTAGCGCAACGAAGTTCGCTTCCAACTGTTAGCACACAACTTGCATAAGACTTTGTACTCAACTGCAACAATTTTTTTGTTCACATTATTAGCTGAAAATAACGGGAAAATTGCAATTCACTTTTCATCAAATGTACACTTCTACACACCACGAGTTAGACTCGTGATAATCAATTTAGGCACAGAAATTGTACCACGAGTCAGACTCGTGGAAATACGTCAAAGGGTTAACATATTGAAAATGCCCCGCAAAGCTCCCATAATGCCAAGTAAAAGCTATTTCATAAAGCTCAAATAAAGTCACTTTGGTTGGAAAATCCATATGCGGGCCTATATATTGCATCTAATTCCAATGATAGACGATATTTTAAATTTCTGGTATGAAGTATAATAAGTAAAAATATAAAATTACAACTCCCTTGAAAACCGTGGACAAAATACCGAATAAAATGGATTATATTGGCCACACCCGGAAACGTGGTAGTTTTTATAATTTGCAGTAGATGGATTTTCTACCCCATTAAAATATCGAAATTTGGGAGGTACTGTTAAATAACTACCCAAAGAGAACCCAAAATACCAAACTACAGTCTATACGATTGCAAATCAAATAGATTTAAAACTCTTGTTTTGTGATCTAGCTCTTCTTTTGAACAAATGTCTGAGCATAAAGGTATGATAATGAGAGGGGAATTATTGATATTTTGGATATTATATATATTGATTATTGAACAATAATATATATTATGTTGGGGGAAAAAGAAATCCATTTTTTTTTTTGTTTTTTGTGTAAATTGTTCAAAACAGTTATGGTCGATTTTTAGCTCTTGAGCTCTTTGGGTATATTTAACAGATGCATCCGACAGACGTCGCATTTTTGAAGGACCGTTGACATTAAATTGGATGATTTAAAGTGATCTTTATCACAGATATAGAGTCGTTGTTTACAATGAGAGCAAATCGATTTAAAGCAAATCTCAATCGGACATCATGAAGTCAGTCGAAATAATGTATGTACGTTGTGCTAAATTTTACGGCAGTCGGCCCAAGTTTGGGTCTTTGGTACAGCATTTACTTAAAATCGGGGGATATATAGGATCTAAATCTGAACCGATTCCAACAAAACTTGTCACAAGTTTTATTATAGTAACTTCAGTACGTTGCACAGTGGGTTAGAGTACCAATCAAATCAGGGAAGCTATGTTAGGATAATTTTTCTTTATTTTTCAGTTAATACCATTAAAATAAGTTAATAAATGTTGTCTAAGTATATTTGAGTATAATTTTATTAAGTAATGCCAAATATCAGTGTAGGTATATAGTGCAAGCAGTACAATATGATAACTTATACATTGAATTTTATACATCTTAAAGTTAATCATCCACATCATCATCATCCGCAGCCAGGGATGGTCCGTATGACGAATTTTCAGGTTTTCGACTGTCAAAAAGGTGTAAACGTCGAAAACGTCATATACCTGTATAAAATGTAGTAAACGTCATTTATTTTAATATTATCACCATATACAGTAATTTTCAAGAACATGTATTATTTTTACTGTATATCTGGCTATTCTTTACTAGAACTGATAAAAAATTCTGAACTTTTTTAAGAAAAAATTTGAAATTCGATACGGATTTGAGTAAAGCATACGTCATTTCCAAATCAATAAATGTAAATAGCTATTTTATAAAAAAACCTAATGGTTTTGAGTGGGTTTCCGACGATTCTGACGTATGTATTATACGTCGGAAATGTATGTCATTTACGTCACTGTTTCTGACAGGCAAACTCTGTCCGCAGCATCACCAACTTCTGATAACTGCTCAATATGTAAAAGGGCATTTGACAAAATTTCGGGTCCGTGAATACGGACCAAGGATACGTTTCAACAAAAAGTCGTCCTGTATTGTGTGCATATATTTTAAATTTTTCATTATTAATCTCATGGCCACTGGTTACAGCTATAAACGACACATGCATTTTTTATTAAATTAACATCTAGTTTTGTTATTTCGGCAGATTTTTTTTAGCGTTTTGGTGCGTTTTTTGATTTTTTAGCTAAAAATGTCATCTTGTCATTCATTGTTTGAGCGCTCGAATTCATCATAAGCTTCGACGATTATAAAAAACAACGTTCGAACTTGTATCTATAAAAATGCTAATAAAAACCCTTTTACCCGATTAGTTGAAACTGCGCAACACAATCACTATTTGTCAAAACAAAGAATATTATTAAAATAGACAAAAACAAACTATTATTGTAACAAGGAATATTATTAAAAGGAACAAAAATAACAACAATCAAATAATTAGAAAAAATGACATGAAAAACAAGAAAACACAACACACGACATCACCAGTCGCGAGATCAATGTGACTTTTAGCAAATTTGACTGCTGCAACACTTGTATTAAACAATGCATTGCTTCTAAAAGGCACAAAAGGGCAGCGTAAAAATTTGCAATATCACACAGATTTATGTCCACTTTAATATAAACCAAAAATTATGAAACGAATGTGGACGAATAATAACTATTTATCCATTTAATATAAAAAAATATTAATTTTTTTGGCATTTTCAATATAAATCATCAAATCTAAATCACTTCCAAACACAATTTGATACTCAAATGTTAACGAAGTATTTGCAAAATAACCTAAACTTCATGGTTTCATTGAAAAATGTTTAACTTTTACAATACTTTTTAAAATAAATAAAATTTTCAACGAGAACGTTTTCACTTTTTTCAGCCTTTTTTGGCACAAAAATTTCTATGAAGTTTGACTTTGAAGTTTCACTACAAAAACACCAGTCCACTTTTGACATTTATTTTAACGACAAGTGATGTAGAATTGACACACGTTAGCTTATACTAACTTCAGTACGTTGTGCAAAATTTTTTCTCAAAATCGGAAGAAAATATATATGGAATCTATATCTAAATCTAAACCGATTTCAACAGAAATTGTCACACGTTATGTTAATTTGTGCGAATCGGCCTAACTTTGGCTCTTTGGTGCACTATTTACTTAAAATCGGACGAACCTATATATGGGAGCTATATCTAAATCTGAAGCGATTTTTCGTAATTTCAATAGGATTTGTCCTTGGGCCAAACAGATGGACTGTGCCAAATTTCATTCAATTCGGGTCATAATAGCGACCTGTGCTTTGTTTACAATTTAACATGGACAGACAGACGGACATGCATAAATCGACTTAGAAAGTGATTTTATGCATATTCTCAAACGGAACCATGTGTCTATCTTGTTTCCTTTTGCCTGTTACAAACATATGCACAATCACATAATACCCTGTACCACAATGCGGTGAAGGGTATTAAAAGTGTATATATCAGCCTATGACCAAGATTTGGCCATGTGTGAGAAGGTTACAAAAGGAAAAGGCCGATGGTTTCTATATTCTGAATTGATTTATGTGTGGTAAAACCATTACGACATGTAAAGATTTGATCAACCCAACATTAGCTTAATGTTCGATTAACAAATTTCAATATTTTGACACTTTTTTGGGGATGTACCAGAAGGAGTGGACCAACGGGTTCCATCTTTAGAATTAATTTAGGCTTCGTGAAAGTTCCACGATTTGAAAAGTTTGAATGAAATTGGATATGGAATTGAATTGACCGATAAGTCTCATCTTCCAACGTAAATAGGTTCTGCAAAATTTAGTTGAACTCGGATAGTCCGTTCGGATGATATCAAAAAAATACCAATAAAATGTTGACCATTTTGTGGGGGAGGTACCAAAAGAAGTGGACTGATTTTCTCCATCTTCGAGCTTGATTTAAGTTTGGAAGAAAGTTTGTAAGAAATCGGTTACTCCCTTCGATAGTTATCGTGCGCATCTTAAATCCAGACAGACAGATATTTGTAAATGTCTGAAAGGGATTTGGTTCTAAAAACATCCGATTTTAATCAAATAATTCGACGAGGCACATTTTCGAATTCTATATACCCTTATTATTCATAAGGCTGATGGTCTACAACAATAAAGGATAATATGTATGTTTTTGGTCACTGCTAAAATATGGATATTTTTCCGTATTGTAAAGTGACAGAAATTGGAGTCGATTTAGGAAGGCCCGCCTATCTTTGTTCTCTTTTTTTAACTGTGTGCACATTTAGGGCGAAAAAAAGAAGTGGCCTGTAATGTTTTTATTTATCATTCATTCTTTATTCATCATTCATGTAATGTTTTTATCTATTTCTTTTTAATTTATTCCTTTTTATTGGGGATAAATCAGTGAAAGTGTACAAATATTGTATATTTTTTAATCAAATCAGATACATAGAGTCGAAGCCTACATATAAATAACGCAGATTTGTGTTCAAGCCTAATAAAAGCATACCAAAATTTAGGGGTTATTTTGAGATCTATACAGATATTCTGTAACATTAACAAATTGTGGAAATATCACATTTTAGTGATTTGGCAAGTTACTATCAAACTGTTCGGCAATCGAGAACAATTTGTAAAAGCTCAGTAGAATTCGAAGAATATTTATATTTCTATGGCAAACTGTAGTGCTTTTCTGTAACGACATAATTGCTGACGATTGTCGATAAGTGCAAATTTTCACCTGCTTATAATTTCGTTGATTTACGAAAATATTCGGTAAGTTAACGACCAAAATAAAGCAGTAGTTATACCGTGCCGACAAGCATGAAAAAGATATCATAAATGTTAGTTTTTTTTTATTAAAAATATGTTTTTTATATTTCCAATATTTGTCGGTCACATTGAAAAAAAGTTACGGAATTGCTCTACTGATATCTTTATAATTCAAATATGCAATATTTTAAATACTAAACTTTAATATTTTTATAGGATTTTTTTTATAAAAAATAATAACTTTTATCCTTTTTCTGTTTCTTTTCAGCAACACCAAATCAAAGACGGCCATTGGTATACAATTATTTAAATCCATACTCACACTACAGACAATAGCCCGCAATGGACACAAAAAAAGGCCAGAACTGAAAACCGACTACTTCAGAGCAAATAAAGAAAAAAACAATAAAAAAGAAAACAATTAGTGAAATTTTATTATTAAATTTAGTCTAAGAAACAAACATACACACACACACACTCATGCATTGATGGAATTAAACGGAAACGGCAAGTAAGTTTTTTCCACATTTTGTAGAAAGTAGATAAAATTATTTATTTATTTTATAAATAATAGCAAAAAATGCTCAAAAATAAAAAAAAAAATAATAATACAACAACAGAAAAACTGCCAGTAAAGTAAACCTTTTTTTAATAATTTTTTTTATTTATTTCATTGCAACTTAATTGGTATTTTTTATTTTGTATAAGAAACGAAAATTATATTTATTTTTTTGTTTTGTTTTTTTATGTTTAGTAAATAAATTAGTTAATAAATAGTATAAATTAAAATAAATAATAATAAATATAATTATGGTTTTTTTTGTAATATTTTTTTTTTCATTTACATTTGGTTGTTTCGTTGTATGAAAATTTTAAGAAGTGAAAATATAAGTAATGAAAATAAATTAAAAACTTTGTCCCCAAAATAAGACAATTGTGTGTAAAAGAAATTATCACAGTAAGAGAAGAGAAATGGAAGTAGAAAAAAACAATAATTCAAGAAAATACTTAGTGGCCACACCACAATAGAAAAACAAATTAGTAATAAATAAAATAAATAATTAACAATAATAACAAAATAAATATCGTGATTAATAAACAAAATACATAACAATAATAACAAGAGTCAACCTTGAAGCCCCTTTTTCCGATGCAGAGAACTGTAATGCAAGTTGTACTTCTAAAACCAGTATAAGAGTAAATGAGAGATATATTGGAGGTTACGTGAAGATGGAAGGTACTTGTTGGAGTAATCTTTCATTTGTGAGTCTCGGCATATATTATATTTTTCATTACCCTTAAAATTTGGTTCCTAACAAGTCTTTGTCTATTTGGCCTAATAAAATAAAAAATTGACCAAGTGATACTTTACCTTTTTTGGTACAAATTCTGGCCCTACTTCATTTAATAATAATTATACTTATAAAACCAAAACTCGAAATCCCATTACATCTCATATTTCCTCCAATTTTTCTACATTTGTCTTAACTGGTATTAGAAATATAAAAAGTCAATGCCATTAAGAGATTTATAGAAACGAAAAACAAACACATAGATAAATATCATACACATGAAATCTTAAATTCCGATAGATTCATTAACCATTCATAACTACATATATATAACTTTAAAATAAACCGATAATTTCGTCTCCAATATTCAGTTCCGAAAATTGCACACACCACACTTTACAGATCTTCTGGCTTTTGAGCGCTAAATGCCATATCATGTGCCTCTTCAGCCAAAATTTTGGCCGGTACTTCAACTAAACCTTCCACAAATCCATCCAAGGCACGAGCCCATCCACTACTATAGCTATCATGATGTGGAACTTCGACAATATGTTTCTTTTGTGACAACAGCTTCTTCAGAGCAATTATCACCGACAGCAGCAGGGCAATCTTAGACACAATTAATGCCTTACCCGCCAACAAAAATAACCCCTTCAGTATAATGGCACCAACCAGGCCCGCCTTACCAGCCATCATCATCAATATGGGTAGCATATTTTTCATTTTACCTCTTCCCTCTTCCAAGGCCACACCTGGGCTAATCGATACACCAATATTCAAATTACCCTTCGGTTCGGCATATGCCACAAAATCTGCATTATCACTGAAATGATAGCGTAACGTTCGTGATGATATGAATTTTCGTATTTTATTGGCCACAATCAAGGCCAGTGTTTCATCGTCGGAATCAATGGAACGTGCCAAAAGTATATCATCTTCCGGGTCATCGGGTATTTCGTCAATATCTCTGAATGAATGATTGAATGAAAAATGAAAATGAGTCAGTAAATGAAGAAGAAACCAGCAATCATTTTTATAAAAGGCGAATTAATATACACTAGAGCCTCAACTTGAAACACTGGAAAAATCGGTTTGCATTACAGTTTCATTGTCGATTGTCACTTTTAGAATTAGTAGAATTTGATTTAACTATTTCCTAAATTTTAGAAATTTTAAAACCTGTACTTTTGTCATTGATTCTTCCGTCTCCAATAACAACGCAAGTCGTGGCTCTAGTGTGTTTTCCATCTTACTTACCGATTCTGTGTTACTGTAACTTTTTTATTCACTTCCAAGGAAGATTTCTTAAATATCCGATTCATGTAGACAATCAATTTGAGCATCATACACGAGTGATTATCCCTTTGGCTACATTTCGTATTGAGTTTTCGCAGAAACCCTTCTTCCAGTTGATTGCGATTAACTGCAGGAATCTGTTAGGAACAAAATGACGAAAATATATAAATATTTCACATTAACTCGCAAAGATACAGCTATTAACAGAAAAATAAATATTATTTCCAAAATAGTATATGGTTCATTTTAAAGTTAATGGAAAATTCCCACATTATAAATATTTGTTACATTATTGTTGGACAATATTTCTAAACCAGTCAATGTTGGTTGTTGTTTGCCAGTTTAAAGAACTATTACGTTAATGGCACACTTAGTTGTGTGGTTGAGATTCAATAAATTAAGTCTTTTCCTTTGGTTTTGACTTAGAACCGCAAGAAATAATTTTTAAGACTTACACCAACACCCACACATTCAACAAATAAATCAACAATTTCAGCAAACATTCACATACACACACATACATCTTTGTGACCTTGAAACAATAATATATAATGGAGACATCAACAAATCATGCCTCGAAACTTTTAATACAGTTCCAAGTTAGTGTTGCGCCACGCCATTAAGATATGTATGTGAATACACGTAATTGTGTGTGTATATATAGACATACAAGTATATGTGATGTCTAGGACCTTCATATGAATGATTCCCGCATTAAATTGAGAAAATGTCACGTAAAAATATTATTAGGCAAATTATTTAGAAGAACGTAAGTGATATCATCGCTAAGGTTTCAAGAATGGGTTGCAAGGTTTATTAGACCTACAACCACGGATTTTTGAAAGTCCTAAAAGCCGTGAAAAATGATTTCCAAAGCGTAAATAGCGGATTAAAAAAAATGTCCTACACTATATGATGGAGTGTATATCAAATTTGTCATTCCGTTTGCAACATCTCGAAGTAGTACTCTGAGGACTCCAAGTATAAAAAATTATATATTATTGATCAGAATAAAATCGATCGACTTAAACACGACCGTCAGATTTCTGTTGTAAACATGATATTTAAAATGTGCTTAATCGGCCCACTTTCTGTTGTATCACTCATATAGCAGTTTTCAAATGTCGATATTTTGTGGAAATTGAGAAAGTTATTCATCAAAATCTCCCAACCAAAAAGTCTCAATATAAATACCGGAATAACGGTATCATATTTTTTCTGTGTTTTGTAGATTTCAGACACGTACAGACTCAACAGAATTTGCTGTGTTTATACAGTGTTCTTTCAAATCTTTCTTATTTTTTTAGAATTTTCAGATATACAACACAGGATTAATTTTTTTTTTTTTTAATTAAGGATACGCGGATTTTTTATAAATTATTATTTATTTATTTTTTTTCAAAATTAAGGATAAGCATGGTTTTAAACAATATTTTTAGATTATTATATTGGGTATGGGGAATTATCATAGGTAGAAACCAGGATTTTTAAAGAATATTTTTTGAAGAATTATCATAGGTAATATTATCATAGGCAAATTTGAGGGTTGACCGTCTAGCTGTAGAATATATTTGAAATCAATGTTCAGACCACATTTATGGACCAAGGGCGACACCCATAGTTACATCCTTAGCCTTATGGCTTATGAGGGTATATGCAAAATATGTGCCTTATCGAAATATGGTTTAAGATCACATGCTTTTGGGAAATTTTCGTTTCACACAATTTGGATTCGATTTACAAATGTATGTTCGTCTGTCTGGCTGGCTGTATCGCACGATAACTGCCGAGAGGTGTAACTGATCCAAACTGTGCACATCGTAATAGTTCTCTAAAACTCAAAGCATGTTCGAAGTTGAGGAAAGTCGGCCTCCGCTTAAAAAAGATAGAAATTTTACAGAAAACTAATTTGTTTATATCATGCGAAACGGAAAATCCGATTTGAGCCAAACTTTGTAATATGTTTTATCTTTAACAAGCCTAGATCATATCCGTAGATGGTCCACTATATTTATAACCCCAATATTAGGCGAATGGTATGAATTGTCCGATTTGATCAAAAATTTGCACATCTTAATAGTTCTTTCAAAAACACAAATCAAGTTCGAAGATAGGGAAAGTAGGTTCACTCCTTCTCGTATCTCTTCCACAAAATGGTCAACATTGCACTGAAAATCCATTTTATAATGTCATGCGAACAGAGCATCCGATTCAAATCAAGCTTTGCAAAACCTAATATTTTAACATACCTGTACATTTTTGGGAGGAGGGACTTATCGGTCCACTCCTTCTAGTACCTCCCCCACATAGGGTCAACATTTTTAAACATTATATCTGATTTGTAGCGAACGGAATATCTAATATAATCCAAGCTTTGGTTATCTTTATATTTTTACCTAGCCTAGATCGAGTCCAAAGATGGAACCCATCGCTGCACACAATTCAAACAATGGTGCGGATTGTTCGGTTTGAATCCAAATATATACATCGTAATATTTCTTTCAAACTTGATTAATGTTGTAGGAGGGGACTCACCAGTCTACTCCTTCCTTCTGGTACCTCCCACACGAAGTGGTTCATGACTATCCCGTTTGAATTAAACTTTTATTAAAAAATACATGTCTGTATGATGTTGGAAGATGGGACTTATCGGTCCACACCTTCTAGTACCTCCCCTCAAAGGGTCAACATTTTGAAAACTTTTAAATCTCATAGCCCCGTTCTAATTGCATCCAAACTTTGCACATCAAGATTTCAGTGGATAAAATACATATTTGCAGATCTTTTTCAGTGCATGTCCCTGTAATAGGGACACTACCGAATTTAGGTATTCTATATCTACCTCATATTGAAGGATACAAAAAATCCGGCGAATTTAATCTTTTTTTTAGTTTTTGACAAATGTTTTTACAAAAAGTGTGGACAATTTTTACCTATATATTGAATTAAACTAAGAGGATATTTCTGTAAAACGGGAAAAATTCAAGTGACTATATAAATTATTTTCATAGAAATTGCCCCAAATATATTTTTTTATTTTTAAGTTTTCGATTTGTCAGAGAAAATAGCGCGATATTATTATTTATTATACGTAGATTCTTGGTAGTATTTATCTTAAAGAAATTCCACTCGCAATGTTATGTCCATATACATAAATACGTTTTACTTTAAATTGTTCGACAACACTTAAATTCACAAATATTTCAAAAACACATTTTCATGGAATGACCCATTATCCTTATCTATTGTCGTAGGCTTTACGATGTGTTCCATGGGATATATATACAGTAAATATCATTGTATTTTAAGTTATCTCTAAAAATGTAGATATGTATGTATTTAGCAAACAATTACCGCATTTTCATTGGAACTGATGGCGGGAGTGGCGTACGCTGTCAGAACGACCGTACAAATAATCGTCCATAAAAATAATGTTGTTTTCATGTTTCTGCTGGTGGCGTGGCAAAAGGACCTCTTAAGTTTAGTTTTTGGTACGGGTTTTGTTTTGTTAATGTTTAGCTTTAGCGTTTTTAGTTTCCTTCTTTACACTTTCTTTTTATTGTTCTCAGGCTCTTTGTATTTTTATTTTTATACAGAGATATATGTATTATCTTAATGGTGTGAACGTAACGTAAAATTGTGTTTCTAATAGAATCCTTGTTGACAAGGATAATTTAGAGTACTTGTCTTTATAGAGTTAATTGAATTTTGAAAACTTTTCAACATCCTTGAAATGCTTTTCGCTTTCTTTTTTCAAAATAGGCACATACACTCGCGCTAAATACACTTAATAGAGAAACAACACTTTCTCTTCCTCGCTATATATTTTAAGTACAATTTAATCCTTTTTCTTATCCGAACTGTGTCTGCTACACAAGTTGATCTGTTGTTCTTGTTGTTTCGGGCACAGCGACGGATCTAAGTGAATGCGTTGTTTATAGAATGCGGCGATGACATCGTCGAGATATAAGAAAACCTAATGCGATTTTTCGAGAGTGTGATTAAGATTTTATATGAACCCCCCAATGCTGCATATGTTGATGCAGCGCGAAAAACAACGCAGCCGCCAGCAGTGGCAGCGCCGAATCCAAACATCTGCCTATCGTTGGAAGGCTGCGTTTGACAGGCTCCTCTTATATTGCCATGTTTGTTGGTCGGTGTTGTCAGGCTTTGTTTTGGCCAGAGTATCTAGCAAAAGTGGGAATTTCTATTATGGATAAATGGCAGCGAGGCAACGAACATGGCCTGCAATGTCTACAAGCCGTCGTACAAGTCCACTTTTGTTTCAACTTGGCAAAAACATCTTTTATTGTCTTTATATTTTCTCCTTTGTCACTGAACTATTTTCTATGCCGTTGGTGGTGTCTTTCATAAAGAAACATTTTTCACTGATTGTCTTGTTAAAATATTCCCAAGTCGAAAAAAACAAAGATTCACATTGCATTATGAAGGAGGATGGGAAATATTGCAATGGGGTAACAGGTAATGATGGTTTGCATATAAAGGCATATCAGTTAGTTGTTTGGTTCATTAAATAAATAACTACCACAAATGTCGAGTATAAAAATGTAGTGGCAATTGCCTTTATATATACACAAAGGCCTATTTTCACGATTTTTTGTTAGTTTTCAAATCAACGTAAGCATAAAGAAAGTTCTTCAGTCAGATAGACCTCTGTATAAGCTATATCTAAATCTCAGCCCATTCTAAATATCAAAGATTATTTCTTCGAAACTTGATCGTTCCAAAAACAGTCGTTCTACAAATATTCCAAAAAAGTCAAATCTTTTCAAAAATATACTTACACATAATCTCTTAACTCTTCACAAACATTGTTTAAAAAATCAGCAAATTTATACTAAACAAGTCAACGCTTAATCCTTCCGAACCTATTCTAAAAAAGTCCAGGTGTAATCCTTCAAAAAAATCCACATCTGCCACATTTTTCATTCTAGAAAAATGAGTAAAATCTACGCTTATAAAAATACAGGCTTTATCATTCCAAATATATTCCTAAAAAACTTAAAACGATGTTAAGTTCATCCGAGCCAATCTCCATGAGGATGGCATTCACAATTTTTTAAATTAAAGAGAAAACTCATTTTATGATATAACTTTGTATATACTGAAAAAGTCGTGAGGAAAAAAGATTACCTAATCTGTATTGATCATTTTGTACAGATATGGGGACTACACTCAAACTTGGTTCGATATTAATAATTTTTGTATGTGCTTGGAGGGCTACCCTGAAACTTCAGTCAATATTAATATTTTTGGTAAGTGTATGTGCTATACAATGAGATCCCAAAATACAAAATTACAGTCATTTCGATAGAAAAACGTGTCCCAAATCCACAAAATACCGAATACTAAGGGGAACCGTTATATGGGGACTACCCTAAAACTTGGATCAATATTAATAAGTTTTAGTACGGATAATTGCTATGCAATGAGAACCCAAAATACAAAATTACAGCCAGTTCGGGAAAAATTTTTGTCCGAAATTCCACAAAATATCGAATATTAAGAGGTACCGTTATATAGGACCTACACCAAAACGTGGACCCAAATATTTACAATACCAACCATCCTACGAGTTCTAGTAGTGTCTGTGCAAATTTTGAGAACCTATCTTATATATTGCGATCTCTATCGTGATTTCAACAAACGGACAGACAGAAAGACAGGCAGACGGACATGCATAAATCGACATAGGATTTTATTCTGATCAAGAATATATATACTTTAAGAAGTCTCCAAACAACAAGAAAGGGATCAAGCTGGCTTACCTAAAAAAGTAAACACACACACATCCCTACAAACAAATGCCACACTGAATCTAAAAATAGACGACGGCACGGTCATTTGAATGGTCATCGCATAACGGCGACATCAACAAACATGTTATGTCTTTTCTCTGCAAAGTAGAGACGCATAACGGTGGAGTTATGGCACATGGTTACATGTTCCGCCACAACATTTTCTGAGACTTTTAGAGAATTCTCAAACCGAGCGTACTCTAAAAGTACTTAGGCTTGACATTGTGGATGTAACAAAATTGGGGAAGAAGGGTGTTTTGTTTAGTGGAGTGATACATGACTCCCTGGGACAATATCCCAAGCTAAAAACTAAGGGAACTGATGATGATTTGTGGTAATCCGAAACTATAGTCTTCTCTGCCATTCCCAAATGTAATCAATATGACCATAACCAACTTTAAAAAAGTAAAAATCTTGTTGTTTTTATTTTTAAAACAACAAAAAGGGGATCAAGCTGTCTTACCTAAAAAAGTCTCCAAAGAATTTTTCGAATTGTTGCAACCAGAATGACAAATTTAATATACACTCCACCATATGATGGGGGGTATAAAAATAAGAATCCATCCAAAAATATTTGTAATCCTTATAAAAATACCATTTAAAATTCACTCATAATCTTTTTCAAAAATATTCTCAAACCGTCCAGTCTTAATCCTTCAAAAATCCATCAAAAACTAATCTCATATAAATTCACTCTTTACATTTCCTATAATATTCTTAGAAAAGTGAGCGGAGCAGTAGAGTCAGACAGGGCCGACCATATGATACCCAACACAACTGTCACTGAATTCTAACATTCGGATCTATATTCCGAGCCTGGAACATATTTCGCGATATGTGAATCCTATTGACCGATAAGAAAACAACTCAATCTTACCTGACATCTTTTCCAAATTATATTTTCCAGCAGTGATCATTTGCAGAATAATCAAATAATAGTGGCATATATACCGACTAGAAGACCAGACGAATATTTCTGATCATCTGAATATCAGCTAAAATTTTAAGCGTCCGGAACTTCATATACAATTTTGAAGCTATCAGCGCGGCGTTTCCATTCTCTCGTGTAGTAATGACAATACTAAAAAATATCGGAATAGTTTGACCCCTGTAAATATTTACGTGTAACATTCACATTTGAGTACATACCACATTATAATTGGTATCAATTTAAGGGCCATCCACTCCTCTTGAATATACTGGTCTCTTCCAGTATATGTATTTAAGCACTAAATATATTTCATAGAATGCAAATGTTCTCTTTTCCAATTATTATTATTTTTTGTTAATCCACAAAGATCCCCTTTTCCGTGTAAAATTTTGTGATGTTCCAGTTATAATTGCGGTTGGAAAAACATACAAAAGTAAAGTGTTGGTCCATTTAATTTCCCAAAAATTGACGGATCATTACCAAAACCGATAGCAGGTGTGGAATTTCGTGACGATTGGTCCATAAATGTGGCCTGTACTATTATAAGGGACGGACGGACATAATGGACACATGTAGGGATCGACCCATCAGTAGATATATGACGATCGGACTTACAAACTCTATAATACCTTTACAACATAGTTGTGTAGGGTATACAAATTCACACCCGATACTTTATAAAATATTTTTACGAAATCTAAGCTTAATCCTTCAAAAAGTATTCTTGCAAACTTCCTTCCAAACATGGTCTTAAAAATATACGCTGAATCTTCCTTGTAGTTTGCGTACAATATTTTGAATGTCGTTCGAAAACACAGAAATACTTCTAGGAAATTATAGCTCAATGTAAAGGTCCGTCCTTATATCGAAATGTATCTGATTTGCGCTGGTCTATTTTTTTTTCAAACATTTTAAAATTTTATATGCAATTTTTAAACATAGACATCTCCCCAAATTGTTCAAATGTTCCCTCGTATACACATCGATCATCTTAGAAAATTGGTATAATATATACACAGGCTAACTAACTGGCTGACACAGTCAGTCAGTCAGTGCCGACTGTATCAGGTTTGTTATTATTTTCATTTTTTGTTGCAGTTGTGTTGTGTGTTGTTGTTTTGTTATTTATTGTGAATGTCAAAGTCGCAGATCTTTTAGTTGGCCTGATGACGACTGGTTTTTCACGTCCAAAGGAGCTTGTATGGTATTTTCTTTCAATTCGTTTAGTTTTTCACTGTACAGTTTTCCCATCCAAATTAACACAACTAACTGGATGTTGACTGTTTGTTTGTTTTAATGTGGAATGCAATTTCGTGGACGACTGGTTTATTCCTCTTCACTATTTGCTTTTGATAGCATTTATAGACGACTGTATAAACGATGGAGAATTGTGTCTGATTTTTCTTCATTTCAGTGTTTCTGACGAATATTTGTGAATATTGGAAGGATGAGCGTTGAGCGTGGACTTTTTCCTTTAAATTATATTTTTGAAAGGATTATGTATTTCTTTTTTTTAAATATATCTGAAAGGATTAATCGTGCATTTTTACGAACATTTTTAGAAGGATTAAGGGTATGTTTAAAACAATTGAAATGAAAATTTTTTAAGACTTTTTTCCAAGGATTAAGCGTGGATTTACTAAGAATATTTCGATAGAATTAAGAATATTTTTCGAAGGATTATGCGTGGATTT